ACACACACACACACACACACACACACCCCGCTTTCCAGCGTACCCCAGCTGAATGCTCCGCCCCATGCCTGTGGGGCAGGGCGTCGGCAGGGCGTCGGCGGGGCGGGGTGAGTCTAAGGAGGCCTTCCATTGGCTGATGGGGCAGGGCGTCGGGGGAGGGGCGTCGCCAGCCCGACGAGGCCCCCGCATTAGCTGGCGGAGAGGAGCGTCGGCGGGGAGGGGCGGGGCCAACCTCAGAGCTCCCTGCATTGGCTGGCGGGGCGCTCCGAGGACACGTGGTACGGAACCAGCGCGGTAAGCGGACCCTGTGGCGGCCTTCCTTTCCCCGAGGGCTCGCCTTGGGCCGGGCGGCCTGGGCGTAGGGTCGGGGCGAGCAGGAGTCGCCCTGGTCCGATTAGGTGCTCCAGACTCCGGCCACAGCCAGACGCGAGCGGCAGAGGCTGGGCGGTCACCGATCCCGACCGCACGGCCAGCGGAGGCCTTAGTCACCCGAGGCCCCTAGGCTGGCCCACGGCTCTGAGGGACCTCTCCGGAGACCCGAGCCTCTCCCACTGCTGAGGCCGGCTGGGACCGGCCGAACCCCATGAGTGCCGGGTCAGCCGGGGTCCCGGCCGGCTCTGCGGTACAGATCGGCTCCGCGCCGGGACCGACCTGTGTGGCAACCTGTGGCTGGAGGGGTCGCAGGGAGCCAGGGCTGAGCAGTCCTCACTCCCACACACAGAGGCCCGCGGAGGACGCAGCCTGGCTCCAGACACGCCCTGAGTGCAAAGGCCCTGGGCAGGGTCCACCTGGACCTTGTTCCCAGCTCGCTGGTGCGGGCCTGCTGTCATTCATTCACCAGCTTCGGTTTACTCGTTTGTAAAGTAAAGTAGATAGTTGGTCCCCTGTACTAACCCTTGAGAGCCTGGGCCTTGTAGAAGGGGTCACCATTCTGCTCAGGACAGTTCCTAGCATGGACTCCGTATATTAGTAGGAGACACTGCCTTGGGACCTGTCACTGATACCCTGTATTGTCCCCGGTGTTTGCAGGGAAGAAATGGGGATTTCTTGGTATGTTTAGGCTGGAGTTCTAGAACAGACCAGTGGGAGAATTTTAACCCTGGTTAGTGAAGGTCAGACATTTAATATACCCTGTGGGGTATGGAGGAAAGTAACTGAAGAAGAGCCATTTCTAGCTACAGGTAAGACAGGTACTTTTTTTCTTGCTTTCTGGTCCCGGAGCTGCTTCCCGTAAACTTCAGACTTCGAGAAGGCAGTGAGGCCTTCTTATGTCTGACAGGCCATTTGCTTTGGTTCTACTCACCCATACTGCTTTTACCTTATTAAGTGGAGTCCAGTTTGATGGCCTTGGTGTTGGGGGAGGTGAAGCAGGAGTCATCAAAACCAAATGGGAGGGAGAGTGGAGCCAGGCCTAACCTGTTTTGTCTAGGACAGTTAAGTGGGAGGGGTTGCATTGGTGTTCCCTGGGGCCTCTACGGAGTAGATGAACAGCCTGGACTACTGGCCTTGCTGAAAGGTGAACTCAGATCCTTAGATCTTAGAATAACTTTAGCAACAAGATTGTTGATCAATTTACCTACAGAGTCTATGAGAATGTACCACAGTGAGTTTGAGATAAGTCTAATACCCAGGAACATTGTTGAAAAGTACCCAGTGTAGTAGATGGTCCTGCTAAGTAAGATTTCATCTCATGTAAACAGGTGGCTTCCCTGTGCATAGTTGGTGAAGAGTAGTGGAATTTGATTTATTAGGACTGATAAAATGGCATCTGTGAACTCTCCCTCCAATGCCCTTTCGGGTGTCACTGAGGCTGTGTGAGTTGGCTCTGGATCTAGAAATATCTCTTGTACTATGCTAGATTTTGAAGAAAAGGAAAGGCTACAAGGGCACTGAGAACTTAGCAGTTCCACCCCAACCCTTGTAGCAGTCACCTTTGTTATTTGAAGTGCCCTGGGATTTCACATTGCGTGGCTCAGAAAACTTCAGTGTGCTGTACAACTGCAACACTTCTTCCCTGTGATCTGTATCAAGAAATAGTGCTCTTTTACCATGTGTCATGTGCGGGCATCTTTGTGGTACCCACTTCAAACTACATAGCAGCTGTGTCACTTGGTGACATTGCAGGATGAATTTGCTCACCACAGATGAGTTCTTTGTGACCTGTGCTCAAGTCTAAGTTTTGACACTTGAAAAAGAGGGAGAAGCTAACATACACCTTTGATCCAATCCCTCAGGAGGCAGAGGCAGGCAGATCTCTGTGAGATGGAGGCCAGTCTGGTTTACATAGCAAATTCTAGGCTAGTCAGGGCTACAGGAGACCCTGCCTCAAAGCAAAAACAAAAGAGGGGGGCACACCAGTTGTAAAGTCTATGCCAGAGTCATTTATATTTCACATTTATTAAAGGCATCCACCCCACATCCAACTGATACCTACTTTTAAAAGTAGTTCCATGAATTACTTTCTCTTGTCTCTATAAAATGCTGAAGGAGTTATAGGGTCACAGACTTCAAAACTAAATACTGGAAAATGTGCCCAGGAGGCTGGAGCTGTAGCTCAGTTGGTAGAATGCTTGTATAGCCTGTATGAAGCTCTGGATTCTATCCCCATTATCCCATAAATTGGGTGTGGTGGTGGCGAGTGCCAGTAATCCTAGCACTTGGGAGGTGGAAGCAGGAGGATCAGAAGTTCAAGGTTATCCTTGGCTATGTGTTGTGTTCAAAGTCAGCCTGGTCTACCTGAAGTCCTGTTTCAAGAAAAAAAGAGAAAAATAATGTGCTCAGAAAATGCAGATATTGAATGTGTGGTGCTTGCAATGTTTCCATACATGTATAAACTGTATATTGTTCAAAGTACGGTACACAGCAGTAGTTAAGCTCTCACATCATCACGCAGGCACAGGAAGCAAGAGAGCTACTGGAAATCTGGCAAGGCTTAAGAACTCTCCAAGCCCACCCCCAGTGATGTGCTTCCTCCGGCATAACCACACCTTCTAAGACCTCCCTAAACAGGGCTACCAACTGGGGACAAAACTAGAACTACTTGGAGCCTATGGGGGACATTCTCATTCAAACCATCACAGGGAGCTTCCTCATCTTAGACCCTTGAGGGAATTCAGTGCAGTTTGTCACTAAGATTATCAGCTGGCTGATGCCAAATTCATCAAACTTTCCGGATCCTTAGCTTGGGTGCACGTTTTCAGCTGAAGAAGCAGGTTGTAATATTTTTGATGAGGTCTTTAAAATGACTATTTCTGCCCATTGTGGTGGCACGCACCTTTAATCCCAGCACTTGGGAGGCAGAGGCAAGTGGATCTCTGTGAGTTAAAGGCCAGCCTGGTCTACATAGTGAGTTCGAGGCCAGCTGGGGTTACAGAGAAACCCTGTCTCACTATTTTCTCTTTAGCAATAGAAAGTGGATAGTTCATCCTGTGCTTTCAGAGTTGGGGCTGTAGCTCAGTTACTAGAGTGCTTGCCTGGAATGCAAGAAGCCCTGGATTTGATCCCCAGGACCACATTAACCTGGCTCGGTGGCTTACACCTATAATCCCAGCAGGAGAGATGATCCAAAGTTTAAGGCCAGCGTAGGCTAAGTGAGACCCTGTTTCAAAAAAAAAAAGGTATAAAGTTTAAAAAACGGCCAGGCGTGGTGGCCCACACCATTAATCCCAGCGCCCAGGCAGAGGCAGGTGGATCTCTGTGAGTTCAAGGCCAGCCTGGTCTACATAGCAAGCAAATTCCAGGGCTACATAGTGAGACTTTCTTTCAAAGCCAAACCAAAAAGGAAAAAAAAAAAAAAAAAAGAGCAAGTGCCCAGTAAATCCATGTGATTGAGAAGTACCCAATTTTAGTTGTCTTCAAATTGATTGCCACTGGGTCCCTCGTCTTTGGACAGGCAATTTTGTAAAGATTTTTTTCCTTAGGCGAAAGGAAGAAAAGATCAGTCTAAGCTCAGAGTGGTTCCCCAGCTCTTGACCCTGGAGTGCAGTCACTTCCTGGAGAGTCCTGTGATTGGTGTCGCAATGCACTGATTCTGAGGGAGGGTGGAGGAACACTTCAAGGTTCAGATCCCAGTGTCTCTGGCCACCACCCTTCAGTCCCAGCCTGCAGGCAGGTCTGACCCTTTACTTTCACTCTCCAGTTTCAAGGCTCGGCATTCTGTCTGAAAGATGTCTGTCCTTACCACCGTCTTCCAGTACATTGATGAAAACCAAGACCGCTATGTCAAGGTGAGGGGGTATTTCATCCTGGGAAATAGTGAAACCTGCTTTAATCCTGTCAGGTCAGAGAAACTTTCAAGACGCTAATAAGAATTATGCCTTTTAAATCAAGTATTGAAATGTCACCTGTTATGTCTTTCTGTTTCTTCACTTTCTCTTTATGGTGAAAGTTATGCTTTTATCATTTGACAGAATGAATTCTATAAATAAAGCTTTGTGATTTTTCTTTAATCTGCAGCTATGATTTCTTGTGATAGTTATAAAGAATCAGTTTGAATTCAGCATGTTCTGAGTGACTCATTAATGTTCTATGTTAATCTGTTATATATTAATTTGAAGGAATCATACTTTAAATTTACTTTTGATAGACCCAATTCAGACAAAATCTTTCAACTTCTCATTCTAAAACTTATACCTTAGAAAACTTGGCTGTTATCAGAAGGACAAGTGAGCTAACTTGAGTTATAACAATATTGTAATATGATATCTTGTATTTGCAGTTTTCTTAGATACACATATTAACTTATTTATGAAATTTTACATTTTATAATCATATCCTTAATAGTTAAAAATACACATTGTGGCGTTTTTCTCTGATTACTTTTTGAGACAGGGTCAGGTACAGTATTATTTTGTTGTTTTATCTATACGAGTGTTTAACCTGTGTATATGTAAGGGTACCCATGTCATGCAGTGCCTATGGATACCAGAAGAGAGCATTGGATCCCCTGGAACTGGAGTTACAGTTGTTAGCCACTATGTGGGTGCTGGCTACAGAACCCTGGGTCCTCTGGAAGAGCAGCCAGTACTCTTAACCTTCGACTCATCTCTCCAATGCCAGTTTTGTTGTTTTTCAATCTAAACAAGCAAACAAAAAAAAGCAGGCATGATGGGTCTGTTCCACACTGCTAGTCACCAAGTTCAAGGTGGAGCCACTATAGGTCCAGTCTGGTGGTGTGACTCAAACTCAGTTATGAGCCCTCTCCCTACCCTTAAAGAACAGCTTTTCAGAACCCTTTCCACCTGCTTTCCACAAACAGAAACTCGAGGAATGGGTGGCCATCCAGAGTGTGTCTGCCTGGCCCGAGAAGAGAGGGGAGATCAGAAGGATGATGGAGGTGGCTGCAGCTGATGTCCAAAGACTGGGGGGTTCTGTGGAGCTGATGGATATCGGGAAGCAAAAGGTATTGTAATAAAAGATGAGCAGCAGCTGGGCCAGCACCGAAAGGAAGTTAACACAGTTCCCTTCCATGTTTATTAGCATGAAAGGTCCTCAAGACCGTGGCTGGGCATTAAAGGGAAACCACCCTTCTGCCTAGGGACTGGGTAGAATCAGCACAATCTTAAGGGGAACCCACTCTTCTGCCTTGGGGGCTGGGAGGAATCTGCATGGTCTTGTGACCTTTGACTACAGATGGTCTACTCAATCTTAACAAGCCTGCACACACCCAGGGTTCATCCAATGATTGCCTCACTTGGGTTGACCTAAAGGTTTGGTGATAGTCAGCAATTTTTTCCAGGAAGGACAACTGTAGACTAGTGACTCAAGAGTAAGTAAATATGATGGTCATTCTTAAGAAGAGCTGAAATTCCCTCCCAGAAATCTAAGCTTTCACACAGAGAAGTTACGCATTATCTGAGTCACATTATAAATAGTAAATCCTCTCCACTCACAAGTACTGAATCCCAAGTACTTCATAAGAGATTTGTGGGTAAAGCGAGTAAGAATGACTGATCTTTCTAATTAAATAAGTAATCTGACTTTACAGTACATTTTCCCTCTGTTTCAGTTCACATGATTCTTTTTAAACATTTTATTTTTATGTGTATGAGTATATTGCCTGCATGTATGTAAGTGCACCCATGTGGTATAATGCCTGCAGAAATCAGAAGAGGGCATCAGATTCCCCTGGAACTGGAGTTAAGATGGTTGTTAGCTGCCATGTAGGTTCTAGGAATCAAACCCAGGTCCCTGCAAGAACAGCCAGTGTTCTTCACCTCTGAACCATCTCTATAGCCCCTCATTTGATTTTTTTTTAAGCCCCATTTTGTTAGTTTTTTTGTTTTGCTTTTTAGTGTTTCTGTTTTGAGACAGGGTCTTGCTGTGTGGCCCAGGCTAAGATAGAAATCATGGAAATCTTCCTGCCCTCAGCCTCCCAAGTGCTGGGGTTATGGATGTAAGCCAGCACATGAAACTTCATTCTGTATATTTTCAAAGCTTAGAAATTTCTGATATTGCAGTATGTGAAAGATTTGTTTTATCTTGGTTCTTTTGTCTGATGAGTTAGGTATCCAGTTGAAATTACAGTCCTGGAATTTTGAGTTTGGCAACTGGGAACCAAGGTAGTTTCATGGCAAAACCAGGATTCAGATTCAGGCATCCTGACTCCTGGTTCAATACTACTCTTTGTAGATTTTCTTCTGACAACAAATTTAATAGTTAAGATATCTAACAGCTTCCCAACAAATTCCCCACTTTTGGGGCCAAGAGCTGGTTTTTTAACTTTTTTGTTTCATTTTGGGGATTTTTGTTCTTGCTGTTTTGGTTTTTTGAGGCAAGGTTTTACTTTGTGGTCCAGGCTGGTTTCAAACTTAACATAGCCCTCTTGCCTCATCCTCCCAAGTACTGGGATTACAGGTGTAATCCACCATGGCCAACTCATGTTGTTTTCTTTTAGAAGCATTCATGTCTTGCTGTCTTTGCTTTTGTTTAAAAGGGGGTGGGGAGGCAGGTGGGATAATTGTTTTTAATGGTTTTTTCATTGCAATCAATAAATCTATTCTGCTACCACTGACTCTACAGAGTATTTCTTAGGAAAGAGACCTCCATAAAAGAGTACAGTAGCTACTGTACTATTTCAAATTAGGTAACACCCATTTTCATTAAGGAATTGAAATATTTGTCCTTTAATCCCAGCACTTGGGAGGCAGAGGCAGGTGGGATCTCTGTGAGGTCAAGGCCAGCCTGGTCTACATAGTGAATTCTAGGCCAGCTGGGGCTACAGGGAGACCCTGTCTCAAAAAGACCCCCCCCCCCAAAAAAAAAGATATCTGTTGTTGTTTAAAAATCATTTTCCTGCCAGGGCCAGCTGAGAGCTCACTGTGATAGAAAAGACCATGTGTGCCCAGGGTAGGAAGTTTAAGGAATGATTCTTCACCTCGGGGCTTACAGGAGGGTATCATGAAATCTAGTGCGAGCCCAGCCCCCACATTCCACACCCTAGGAGCTCCAGGTATCAAGAAATAAGGTCGCACTTTATTAGTGGAGTTTATTGAAAAAATAAGCCCTGTATCCTTGTAAGAATTCCAGTCACCTGCCAAGTTCCGTAGTACCCTTCATACTGAAAGCTCAGGAGCCCTGGAGTTGGGAGATAGAAACTTTCAGCAGTCCTCACCAGTGTTGTTCTTAGGTTGTCATTTTTAGTTGCTGCTCATTTTTTCTCCTAATTGTAAATTGTTAATCTAGCACCATTATCAGACAAGATCTAACAAGTTCAGGGCAGTATGGCAATACACTCAATTTAGTTTGTGTGTTATGGCTTTCTTTCGTTTTTTGTTTTTTGTTTTGTTTTCTTGAGACACAGTCTCACAGTAGCCATGGCTGGTCTGGAACTTGCTATGTAGACCAGGCTGGCCTCAAACTCACAGAGATCTGCCTGCCTCTGCCTCCCAAGTGCTAGGACCAAAGGTGTATAATACTACGCCCAGCTTGATGTGTTTTTTAATAGACATTTTCATAAACAATCCTTTTTAGAAGTTTCTAGTAGTAATTCTAGTATGATATATGTATGCGACATCCTAGTTAGAACAGTCCCTTCCTCCCACCAAAACAAAGTACATGTGATCCTGTGCTGACACCCTCCCCTGACACCTGCTTATAGCACTTTGTTGTGATCACAAGATTTTCTGTTACAATATAGGAACCAATAAAGGAGGGACATGGGCACAGTCTTCATGGGGCTCAGTGTAGAGTCACAGGCAGTGACCACTGACCTGATAAGGTAGAAGATCCAAGACTGATTTGCTTTCATCACTCTCCTCTAGACAGAGAATTCGGGTGGTAGTAAAGTATCCTGGACAGCCGATAAGGCCTTTTGACAAAGCCCAGAAGGGGTGCGTCTTTCACCACTTAATTTTGCACAGTGTATGTGAATTCTATTTCTTTATGTCTTGGTTGATGGCCTGTTCACCTTAGTTGTCTATATACAGAATTTCAAAGATGCAGCATTCAGTTGAAGATTGTAGTTGTTTTTAGCCATATTTCAAAAGTGAGTATCCCAAACCTAAGCTGCATAATGTTTTGTTATATCGATGTTTTTCAAAATCAGCCTTTAGCAGTTTATCAAACTAGTTGTAGCTCTGACTCCGTTAATGCTTTCTGGATTATAGGAAAGCAAGTGGAAAGTAAATGTTAATTAATGACTGTTGAACAATGCGACCTTAAACTCTACAGAGGTTGATAGATGATAACAGGTAAGAAAGTTCCAGGTAGGTTTGATGACAGCTGCTAGAAATTCCCAGCTCATTAACAAGACTATCCTCCACTGCTCCCTCCCACTCAGCTCCCTGATGGCTCAGAGATACCACTTCCTCCCATTCTGCTGGGCAAGCTGGGTAGTGATCCCCAGAAGAAAACAGTATGCATTTATGGGCACCTGGATGTGCAGCCTGCAGCCTTGGAGGATGGCTGGGACAGCGAGCCCTTCACCTTAGTGGAGCGGGATGGTAAGGACACCCGATGCTTTCCCACAGAAATGCTCACTTTCAACATCAGGGGAAGCATTTCTAAGACTACATTTATAGAATCACTGATATTCTCCTGGGTTTTTCTCTTTCCAGTACCCATTGTTTTTTTAACAAAATCTGAAGACTGGGTTCTGGAAGAGCCTCACTTGTGGAAAGCTTGGAAAGTTTTCCTTTTGCCATGACAAGTCCTTCTTGGCAGGAGCCTCCTGGGCTTTCTTTTGATCTGACACCTTTTCCAGAATACCTGTTGTGTGTTGAAGCTGCATCAGTCCTCAAGAGCCTGTCCTCCAGTGACTCTCCCCACTTTACAGTCAACAGTCAGGGGTTTTAGTACCTGCCCCGGGATACTAGGAAGGTGGCAGTCTTTCTCTGGCCCTGCCTTTGGGCACCAACAGTGCTGTTGGATCCAGACTCCTAGAGGCCTGTTTGTCCTTCCTACTCGCCTAGGTGTAAAGTGCTCCACTTCCATTCTCAGTTGAAACTGTTTCTGTTGAGAGTCCCCGAGATATAGAAGCTTCTTCCTTTGAAACTTGCCCCTCAGCCCTGTCCAGACTCTAATACTGGGTGTGGAGTCTGTCTTCAGACCTGTCCTGACTCAGTGTGGATTGTGAGCATGTCTTTGAAAAGTTATTTTTGCTTAATACAACATCTTTTATGAAACTTAATCCTATAGATGGTCTGCCTCACCATGTAACTAGGACACACAATCATTTTTAAGTCCATGGGCATTTGTATTCCTTTGAATGTCGGACCCACATGTCTGCATGGTGGTTTATAGACACGTGAGTTCACAGGTCTAGATTAGGACTCCTAGGCTTTCTTCCTTAGTCCCTCTCACATCTTCTTGAATGGCATCATCTTCCCACCATCTGTATCAGAAACAGGGTTATCTTTTCCTGTCCCCTGCTGTCCCCAGTCCCTTCCCAACCCTTCCCATGCTGAGGACCTCCCAAGCTGATCTAAAATGACCCAACCATGCTTCTCTGTGCCTGAAACCTCTAGAAGACTAAGATTAGGTGTCAAAATTGATTGGGAGTGTGTAGTGCATTTGTGATAACAGTCAAGTGATTCCAAGGTGACCAGGCTTCCCACTTGGTTGCTGCCAGCTGCTATGGGTAAATAAGTTTTAAAGGGCTAACTCCCTATAGGGATCTCCTATAGCTGAATGGCAAATCTCTGCCCTGACTCTTTAGGAATCCTGGCCCTCAAAATTTCTGTGAAAGGGAAGGGTTAACCAGAGGTACCCATGTGATTGGCTTTTGGGTTACAGTGAATACTCTGAGTTTTAACCACTAGGTTGGATGGAGAGGGCTTCTGTTGTAGAAAAAGTCTTCCTTCCCCAGGACAGCTGTGTGTGGTTGTACAGTTATTATCAGATGTTTACTTGAGATAGGCTCTTTTGGATTTCATTGTCTTGTAACTGAATCTGCTGATTGCTGTTCCAGGCAAGTTGTATGGGAGAGGCTCAACAGATGATAAGGGGCCAGTGGCTGGCTGGATGAACGCCCTTGAAGCCTATCAGAAGACTGGCCAGGTACACCCCACATCAGATTGTGCTTGCTGACTTGGTCCTGAGAGCAGTACTATAAAGATTACTAGGTAGGAGAAAACAAACTCCACAGCCTTGGTCAGCACAGGTAACTCAGGTGGAAGCGTGAAGCAGTTTTCGGCTCTAGAAAACATTAAACAGTTTTTGTCTTGAAGATGCTCAAAGGTCAGACTGACTACTCTGCAAGACTCTTGCCAACACATGGAATGTAATCTTTTTTTTTTTTTTTTTGAGACAGAGTCTCCTTGTAAGTCCATGTGGCCTGGAACTCACTATGTAGACCAGGCTGGCCTCACTCAAACTCACAAAGATCTGCCTGCCTCTGCCTCTGGAGTGCTGGGATTAAAGGCATGCGCTGCCACACCCAGCCTGGAATGTGATCTTTCTCTTTCCTTTCTTTCTGCTAGGGATCAAACCCAGGGCCTCATGCATGCTAGGGAAGTGCTATACCACCAAGCTGCATCTCCAGCTCCAAATGTGGATTTTTGATGGTCTTGTTTGTTTGAGACAGAGTCTTGTTAGGTAGCCCAGGCTAACCTTGAACTCCTGTAGTCCTCCCACATCAGCTTCCAAGTGCTGGGATTACAGGCATGATTCGCCAATCACATTTTCAACCTTTGACTGTACCCATGAGGCTGGTCCCTTGCTGGAATGTAACAGACTTTGTGATGCTGGGAAAATTCCTTTCTTAGTGTGGTTTATATTCTAACAATAAGTGTTCTTTGTTTCAGGTGTGGTTTTTTTGTTTTTGTTTTTTTTTTAATTTTTTTCCCCCAGAGTTCAAAGTTGATATAGAAAATAGAAAAAAAACAATGCTAGAATCTTAACCTTCAAATACCTGTTGGTATTTTGTTCCCTACCCAGGTTTTTGTTGGTTTTTAACTTGAGTGTGATCATGCTGTCTAGACAGTTTATACCTACCTGTTTGAGATCTTGGGGGATGATTTCACTTGGGGCAGAAGAGGAGCAGAGGGGAGGTGCTGTTATTATTGTCAGGGATAGGTGTGGACTGAGAGTTGGTAGACTTCAGTCTATCTTTGGGTTCCTGTCTCATGTGTAGCCTCTAGCATGTCACCTAGCTTGTGTATAGCGCTTCCTTTTTCCATCTATGGATAGGCTACCTGCCTCACCCTGTGGAGCTGGGAGAGCACTGAGAAAATTATCCAGAGAACTTGATCCAGATTCCAATGCTGTACTGAAATTCCCACCAAGCACCTTGGGAAAGGTGGTATGGGGTGGTGCTGGCATGGTGGGAGGCCTCAGTTCAGGAAAGGTCTCATTCTTCCTCACAATGACAGTGAAGACACAGCTATGCACTTGAGGCCAATATTTGTTGTCTCTTTCCCTCTCTCATGACTTCCCCTACACTCACTGGCTCACTGTGGTTGCAGAGATCCCTCTGTGGGACATGATGCGGGGCTCTTCCTTCTGACCCTGGTACTCCCACAGGCCAGTGCTGGAGGGGGACTGGTATTTGAAACTAAACTTCAAAGCAGTTTTGTATGTGTCACTTCTGCAAGGAAGATAAAGAAATTGACTGTCCTGCTATGTCCCTGTCTCAGGAGGTTCCTGTCAACGTGAGATTCTGCCTGGAAGGCATGGAGGAATCTGGCTCTGAAGGCCTAGATGAACTAATTTTTGCCCAGAAAGACACATTCTTCAAAGATGTGGACTATGTCTGCATTTCGGACAATTATTGGCTGGGGAAGAATAAGCCCTGCATCACATATGGCCTCAGGGGCATTTGCTACTTCTTCATTGAGGTACGGGCTGAGTCCCACAAGCTTTGCTTTGTTTCTAGATAACCCCTAAGCCTCCTTTTCTGTGCCCTGACTTAGGCCAGTACCCAGAAGTCAATCAGACATGAAGGAGGAGCTTAGAGCTCACCCAGGGCCCCTTCTTGGGTTCCATAAGTCATCCTAATATCCCAGGCATGGACAGTGGTACTTCTGAGATCAGAAGTCAGTTTCATGGCAGTGTCAAACTAAGACAATATTATCTGTGATATTATATTTGAGCAGTTGATAAGAGACCAAATGCTAATCCTTTTAAGAAGACTTAGACATATATGAAGCACTTGAGAAACCCTTCCTCTCAAAGTTAAAACCTGGGGGCTAGAGAGAGGCTCAGTGGTTAAGAGCAGGACCCAGGCTCTGTTAGTTCCTAGCACCCATATAGCAGCTCACAGGATCTGTAACTCTAGTTCCAAAGGATCCAACACCCTCTTCTGGCCTCCAAGGTCACCAGGAATGGACACAGTACACATACATACATTCAGGCAAACATTCATACACATAAAATACAAATAAATATTTTAAAAGAAAAGTAAAAACCTATTGAGCATGTAAGTTCTCATCTCATGACTTAGTTACCTTGAGGGAGTGGAGATTGCTTCAGATGAACACAGGCCGAAGCAAGGGTATGGCACAAACTCTGCCACTTGCTGATGGAGATCATCTTCTGTGATGATGAGCATCATCAGGGCAGAACTCATGACCATTGCTGTGCTGAGCACTCACCTAGGCATAGTTCTAAACACATGTTACAGGTATAACTTTGGTACTGGCAGGGAGTAGCTTCCCATTTCCCTTTATAGATGGGAGTCTAAGCATACTGTGGTTCCCTTGTCTCATGTGGTTACAACACTAGTCCGTAGTAAGTGGGTCTAAATGAGGTCCTCAGGGTCTGTGTTGATGGGGTCATGCTTTATGTTGGGTTTTAGTCTCTCAGGAAATACGTACAGGGTCTCTGAAATGACAGAGATCTAGCCTTCCTTTGGAAAAGGCTATCAGTGCTACAGAGAGTCCCCCATACCTATGGCCAGCATTCTCAATTTTCTGTAGTTAGCCTCCCTAGTGCCTACAGTCCAGGAGTCTACTGGATCTCTGAATTTTCTAATTAGAAAACACCTTGCTTTGTTCCTTAAGGGAGCAGATTTTGATTTGGAAAATCATTGGTCTTTATTCTTTGTTCAATGCAGTGTCACAAGATAAAAATAAGCTCCTGCTAAGATGCCAAATAAAGTGTTCTTTGTTTCTGCCTAGGTGGAATGCAGTGACAAAGACCTCCATTCTGGGGTGTATGGCGGGTCAGTGCACGAGGCCATGACGGATCTCATTTCATTGATGGGTGAGCTCAGGGTTGGCATTCCATAGGTCAGCACTCTGTCACTAGGCTATCTATAGTTGATGCTTGGTGTGTTTCAGGATCCTTTATGAGCCAGTCAGTTCTGCTTTGTTTCTAATCAAGTTCCCTCCCTCTGGGTATTGTTTTCTTCTTTAAAGGGCCCCGTCTTCCTCCTGTTCTTCTTGAGTCTGTACCAATACCCTGCCACCAACTGTTGAACTGCCCCCAGCCCCAGTGGGATGCCCCCAGGTCCTGCCCAGCCTGTCCCTTTGAACCCCTGGATGCTTTGATCCTTTACTTCTTGACACGGTGTTTTACATCTCTCAGAGGGCATCTGCTTTGGTCGGTTCCAAATGACAACACCTAGTTTCCCCCTTCTTGGTCAGCTTCTAGAGAACAAGAACCACAATTTATATTGCAGGCATTCAGTAGCTTAAGATAAGGAGAGCTATTGCCTCCCATGTAGCGCTGTCACCTCCTTTTTCCTCCCTGGAGGAAAAGGGCTGTCACAGGTGAGGTAGCATTGTATCTGGGGTTAGTCTCTGTCTCAGGTTCCCTCATCAGTTTAAGAGCACCTCGTTTCTTATGAAATGTGCCTTGTAAAGAAACATTGTCTAATGTGGGATTTTAGAGTGTACCTGCTTGGAGCAGGCTGCTTGGTCCAGGTTAATGACTGAGATAACTTATGCACTCCAGCTGCCCCTTAATCACTCTGAAAAATAGGAATGAAGGTGGTCCTGCTCACCTCCTTGGGGTTATCATGATAATTAACTGAATTACTGGCAGAAGGTACCTGGAGCCAGTGTTCCTGGTATTCTTGGCTCCTGCTGCTGTCACATAGCCAGAATGTGTGCCATGGATTTCCCTGGGGCCTGACTTCCTAGAGTCCAGACCACTGGGAACAGCCTCATGTGAGTATTTCCACCTTCTGCCTCTTCCTCCAGGCTGTCTGATAGACAAGAAGGGGAAAATCCTCATTCCTGGCATCAACGAGGCTGTGGCCCCTGTGACTGATGAGGAATGTGAGCTCTATGACCACATCGACTTTGACATGGAGGAGTTCGCCAAGGATGTGGGAGCCGAGACCCTCCTGCACAACTGCAAGGTGCCCTGCATTCCCCACCCTGTGACAGGCGTGTGCCCACCAGACTTTAATTACATTCCATGTCTGGTTCATCCTGGGAGGGAGTGTGTGCACACTAGTCATCAGAAAGCAGGATGTGGCAGGTTAGGAGCACTTAGGGTTTTCAGATGTCAGGATCCACTTTTGACCAGCTTGGAGAGATCCGCAGAACAGACTTGTCCTGATGCAGGTGGTCTTTACTCTGTTTGGGTGTATGGGCCACCTTCTTCCCACAAGGTCCAGAGATTCGTTAAGCCAAGTGTGAAGGCAGAAGCTATTTACAGTGTTTACTTAACCATTAAGGGAAACTTTTAGTTCATTTCTTGTCTTAGGAAGTGTGGCCATCAATTTAACATGGAGTCAATGTTAACAGACTCTTTCATCAGGTTGTTCTAGGCCCTAGGAATACGGCATGAGAGGAATAGGCCAGGCTGGGCTCTTGTGTTTCCCAGAGACAAAGGATCTGGAGACAGTCATACCAAGGGCCAGGCTGGGCACAACTAAAGGAAGAGGTTGGGCCCAGTTAGAGGCCTGTGGGAGCCTATGCTCCATCTGACAAGAGCTGGCAGAGGAACAGAGACATATCGGTCTGTTTGGACACTGGAGGCCACACAGCCCTCCTTTAGGGTATGTGGCAGCAATTCCAGTACATTAAGTGGGCCCTGACCAACCCTACTGAGTAGGGGTCCCCATGTTTGTGTTCATACCTCCTTCTGTGACTGTCAGGGTCCTGACAGACCCTGTCTAAGAGAAGCTGCCTTCCCAGTGTCTTCTGTCTCCTCAGTAAGCAGACAAGGCTGCACTTGACCCTCTGCCATGCCTCTGCAGAAAGACATCCTGATGCACCGCTGGCGATACCCATCCCTCTCCCTCCACGGCATTGAAGGGGCCTTCTCTGGATCAGGGGCCAAGACCGTGATTCCCAGGAAGGTGGTGGGCAAGTTCTCCATCAGGCTAGTGCCAGACATGATTCCGGAAGTAGTCAGCGAGCAGGTATGTGGGGATGCGAGGCCTGATTGGAGGCAAGGCATGTGGGTAGAGATAGGGAGTATGTGTGGCAGGGATGCTGTGTTGTCAGACTTACAGGAGCAAGAACGTTCACCTAGGCAGAAGCCTAGACCCTGCATGTCCCCAGCTCATGGCTCTTACCCACTCAACACTTGCTGGAATAATCAGGGCAGAAGCCTGTGAGAGATAAAGGCTATATGAACAAGCCTCATACATAACTGACCTTTATACTGCTGAGGCATGTGAAACTTTAACCTCTGACCTCACCCCAAGGATACAGGGCACATGCTTACTTGGGGCCACATGTTAACCTACAGTCCCAGAGAGCCACCGGTGGTGGTGAGGAGTAGAAGGGAGAGGCCAGTAGCTGCAGGTCAGCAAGGCTCACAAAGCAGACACCCTTGTGTTTAGGGAAACTTCTTGGTGAGTTGGAGCCTTCCCTATTGGGAAGAGGACACTGAGGCCTCTTCTCCACATGATAAATGAGATTCATTTTAAAGCCACACATCTGGATCCACTCCTCTCCCCACCCCACCCCCCTTTTTTTTTTGAGACAGAGTCTTACTATGTAGCCCAGAACTCATCATCCTCCTGCCTCCACTTCCTGAGTGCTAGGATGGCAGGTGTGCATCCCCACATCGACCTCCCATGTCCATTTTACAGCTAAGTAAAATTTAGCTTGTGATCAGTTTTATGAAGTTTATTGGTCTGCTTGAGTTACCACACTAAAAACCCACATACTAGGTAGCTTAAATCACAGAAACATATTTTTGACACTTTTGGGTGCTGAAAGTCCAAGATCAAAGTACCAGCAAGCAGTGTCTGGAGGACCACCCTAGGCTTACAGGTAGTACAGATGGCCTCTTGCTATGCTTCCATGATGGGATAGCCACGGAGGCCCCTTCTTAAAAGAAGACTAATCACATTCATTCAAGCCCCATACCAATGACTGTTAATCCTAATTGCTCCCACAAAGGCCTGTCTTCAAAAACAAAATGGAGTCTAGAGTGATATATTAGTGACTTTGCTTGTTGCTGTGACAAAACACTTGGCAAAAATGACGAAAGAGTTTGTTTTGACTCACAGTTAAGGGTGTAGGCCATGGTGGCAGAGAAGTCATAGTAGCAGGAGAGGAGCATGAGGCAGGTCGTCACATTGTTCCTCAGTCAGGTAGCAGAGAGAGGTGAATGCTGGTGCTCAGCTAGCTTTCTTTCTTCCTTTTTATTCAGTCTAGGGCCCTAACCTGTGGGATGATGCCATGCATAGTGACCCCCCCGCCCCAGTAACTCACTTGCTTAGATTTCCTTTCTTGCTGCTGTGACTATGCATGTGAGTATTCAGCAGCAGAAAATGAGGCTCATCATAGACCCTTTGTAAACTCTAGATGCATTGTAGACCTGTGTAGACCACTGTCGATCCCTAGCATTGAGTCAAATGCCAAGCAGAACACATCGTGTGTATCTTCTGTTTTCGGTTTAGGTTTCAAGCTACTTGACTAAGAAGTTTGCTGAACTGCACAGCCCTAACAAGTTCAAGGTGTACATGGGCCATGGTGGGAAGCCGTGGGTATCTGACTTCAACCATCCTCATTACCTGGCTGGAAGAAGAGCCCTGAAAACAGGTTGGCTGCCCTTTGGAGATAGATACCAGTTCCCTGAGCATGTCTGAGGACTCTGTTGTAGCTAGTTGTACACTAGGCTGTGTCTTCTGTGCTGTGCTGTGCTGTGCTGTGCTGTCCTGTGAGGAAGGCTCAAGTGTAGACTAGGATCGGGGTTGCCATCCCCAGGGTCTGGACTAAGTGCTGCTAAGTGGTGACTGTGAGGCAGCACTCTAGCCTCCAGAGCCCAAAGTTCAGCATTTCTCTTATTTTATTTTCCCCAGTATTTGGTGTTGAACCAGACTTGACCAGGGAAGGTGGCAGTATTCCTGTGACTTTGACCTTTCAGGAGGCCACAGGCAAGAATGTCATGCTGTTGCCAGTAGGGTCAGCAGATGATGGTGCCCACTCCCAGAATGAAAAGCTCAACAGGTAAGACTCTGGAGCCCGGAGTCTAGGACCAAGTTGGATCCTCTAACTTCTCCTTGCAGCTTAAAAGCAAGCAGGTAGCGGGTCTGTGACTTACCCCCTTCTTCCCATTTGGGTTCAGTGGTAAGAACTGACAGGAGGCAGGCATAAGGCATTGGTGACAGTTGGAAAACAGGGTTCGTACAGCAGTCTCTGTTTGTTGCTTTCTTCATACAACCCATAAAGCCCTCTCTGCTTCTCCCTTTGAAAAGTTACAGTATTGTCACTAGCTCTCAAGCTTCCTCTAGCCTGTAGGATGGAGGAAGCCTCTGATTGGCAGTAAGGAAGAACCCAGGCAGGTGGTGTGGGAAGCAGCATCTAGCTATGTAGAAGCTGAGAAAGACAGGAAGGAAAGACCTCTCCTTGGACCAGCAGAATAAAATCTGGCTAGGACATTATAGAGACCCAATATGAAAAGTCAGGGAGGCAGAGACCTAGTTACTGGGCTATGGAGTAGAGACCTGGTCTTGAGATAAACCTTTCATTCCTGAGGCACCAGGTGAGACAAAAACCCTAAACCAAGACCAGGACTGGTTCCAGGAGTGGGGATAGGGGAGGGAGAGGTGTCACACTGAAAACCCATGAGGCTAATTCTAAAGGCAAACCACACTCCAAAGTGGGTGGGATGCTCCCTAAAGACAGCAGTAGGAGGAGCCACCACAGGGCACTGACTCCTTGGACAGCAGCCAACAGCTGGTTTTTCTCTCTATTAGGCACAACTACATAGAAGGAACCAAGATGCTGGCGGCGTACCTGTATGAGGTATCTCAGCTGAAGGACTAAGAGGTCCATTTTTCCACAGAATGCAGCATCTGTCCAGAAAGAATCTACCCTATGCCCAACTTCCAACTTTCTTGGGAATATGGACTCCCCCCCTCCCCATCTCTTTCACAGGTCACAGGCAGACTTGCAGGAATGGACACAGTGCCTCCAGCTGTCAGAAGGGTTGGTCAGCTGTTCAGGCATTTGGCAGTGATTAGTCCTGGGGGTTTATTAGTCCAGCTAAGTGGCTCCCTGGGGGTTTCTCAGAGGTGACCAGTGTGACTTCACTTCCAGAAAGCAGCCAAAAGCTTCAGGTCCATAGGAATTGCTGATCGTCATGGACTTGGGGTGCACAGGGCTAGCTGCTCTCCACCTTCTATCTCAAGTGAGACAGACTCACTTGGGATATCCAGGAAGGAAATGAAAGTACTCAGGGGCTTGCTATGTCACAGCAGCACCGTGGTGACCCCTCACTGGGCCATAATTCTGTCCCTTCTCAAGACCTTGGATGACCATCACTGGTGTCCCCTCTTGCAGTCTCTCAGAACCTGTCCTAGCAGTCATAGTGGAAGCACTGATCCATCTCTGAGCTGCTAATAAAGGTGACAATGAGCCTCAGTGGGGCGACTGCTGCACTCTGACATGCTTGGGGCTGGGGTACACATGTGTCTGTCTGTTGGGTAGTGTCTGGTAACTGTCACCTCATAGTGAATGGTGGTGGTCAGTGCCCAGAACAGAAGACTTATGTTCACCCCTTGAGTAGCTCCCCCAACACCTCACCCCCCACCCCCACACACCTCCACATCAAACTTTTTTGAAAAATTTTTAGAAAGTTCCCAGGACTTGGGTAGGGATGATGGGAGAGATGAGCTGGAAGTGTCTTGTGGAAGATAATGACAGAGATGTAGGAGCCAACCTGAGAGCACACAACTGCCATGGACTAGCTAGAGCAGGGAAATGATGATGCTAGTGGTTCATGAGGCTGAGGCAGGGTGGTTGCCATCAGTTCAAGGCTAGCTTGGTCTATAGTGTAAGCAGAGACTCTTCTGAAGAATTCCCATTCATCAATGTAGGAGTAAAGGAAAAGGAAAATCCCCACTGGGTCACAGCTGCTACAGGTGGGGTCCCCACCACATGCACTAAAAATGCTTAAGTTCAGGATATTTGCGTAGCCTACAAGTGTCTCCCCAAGACCTTGGTCCCCAGGGAAAACCCAGTGACTTTAGAGTGAAGAAGCCTGATAGACACCTGGGCCAGGTGAGCAAAGTGAACATCGGAGGTAATGCCCATCCCCATCCCGTACCCTTTAAACACTGCCCTGAGAAGGACACATCAGCTTTGGGGACTTCAGGCTGATTACAAGAAAATGTCAGATACACCCAGCCTGCAGAATATAAATGAGGTTTAACTCATGTTGTACTCATGTTAATTTCTTCATTTTGATCTTGGTTATCTTAGAACGCTAGCTTGTGAAGTATGCATAGAGACTTAACTACTTTTACAACCTTTCTGTAAGTCTAGTATCATTTCAAAGAGAAGGGATGCTGGACCTAGTACCCAGGGGCTCACCTGGTATCATTGGTGCTTGCTGTACCACCTCTCCACTCCTTCACAAGCAGAAGAAATGTTTTCTTTTGGCTTTTACTCCTAGAGAACTACAGAATCTACCTCCAGAAACCCCAACAGATGCTAGTTAGTTAAAATAAGATTGGTGCCAGGTGTGGTGGCACACGCCTTTAATCCTAGCACTTGGAGGCAGAGGCAGGCGGATCTCTACAGGGAGACCCTGTCTCAAAAAGACTAAATAAATAAACAAACAAATAAAATTTAAAAATAAGATTGGTAGTTGTGTAGAGTCCCAGAGTTGGGCATGAAGCAGTCACTGTTCTGAGATTCTGCACCCAAGGAAGAGCCCATCCTCAGAGCCCGGGTCAGACCTTGCTGGCAAAGGCATGACCATGGCCCAGGATCTGGCAGAGAAGTTGCAGTAGTGAGCCCTGACAGTTGCTAGAAGTCTGCCACCTTTGAAGCCAGGAAAAGCTATACACAAGGGTATGTCTTGCCAAGGCCCTTGACTATGTCAGCAGAAGCCATTGGCATCCAGTGTAGCCACTATGCCCTTGTGGGCAAACCAGGTTCCTGGTTCCAGTTTCACTGGCAGCACATATCTACAAGGACGCAGTTCTTGGTTCTCCAATGGCTGCTTTAGAGAGTGTTCTTGTCTTCATAGATAGCATTTAATTTTTATTATCTTTGAGACAGTCTCAAGGCTAGTCTCAAACTCATTATATATCCAAGCATAACCTTGTATCTCAACCTCCCAAGTGTTGGCGATTACAGGCATATACCACCCCTCCTGGTTCATAAAGTGCTTGGGATCAAGCCCAGGACTTCGTGCGTGCTAGGCAAGCACTCTACCAACTGAACCACATCCTCAGCCCTATATTTTAAAATACCAGATTTACTTACCATGAGTTTCTATTTTGTCCATCTTGCTTTCTTGACTCAGGTCAGAAACTGGAGCCTTTCATAACAAGCATTGAATGGAAGTGATAGAACTCTCAATTTCAGCTCTAAGTTTTAGGACTTGCATTTCCCTTGTCCCCCTCTACCCTGGAGTCATCTCCGGGACATCTTCAGGAGCCTGATGTCTTAACCACCCCCATTGCTGTCCCCATTTGTCCTCTCAGGGATGTGTGTCTCAAAAAGACAATCATTGGACCTGCTGGTATGACCCAAACATTATACTTTCAGGTTCTGTGCTGTTGAATTCTTGTGTCTAGTGAGGAGAGAAAAGCTTTATTCTGTGTTGAAATGAAATGGCCAACATTCCTCAACAAAGCTTCCAGAAGAAATTGTTCCGTTGGTGGAGTCTCTCCCCCTTTTGGATATTGGAAGCTCATCCTATACTGAGAAGAGAAAGCTTTTGTGACCCAAAGGCTCTCTGCATGATCTGGAGAAAGTCAAATTCATTCTGTCCTTACCACTTGCTGGAATCTGGGTCAGAACAAGTGGTATCAGGAATGCCCAAAGACAGTGTGTTAATTAGTGCACGCTAGACTACTATAGGCTACTACAGGCTAGACTGCTACAGCCACAAAAATGAAGACTTCACCAGGAATTCTCATGCTTTGGTCCTTCATGTAAAACACAGAAAATCCACGGTGGCTGGGGTGGTGGTTCCTCTGTCGTTTGAGGCAAAAATTAACAACTGAAACTACATCAGACTAAAAATCTGCTCAGCAAAGGATGCGGTCAACAAAAGGAAAAGATAACCTATGGAATATGAAAAATATTTGTAAGCCACATATCTGATGAAGGGTTAACTTCCAAAATAAGGAACACAATAGCAAAAAGAAAGAAAATTTTTAAATGGACCAAGGAACAAAATAGAAAATTTTTCCTAAAGAAAACATACAAGCCAGGCATGGTGGTGCATGCTTTTAATCTCAGCACTCAGGAGGCAGAGGCAGGCCAATCTCTGAGATAGAGGCCAGCCTGGTTGTCTTTGTAATGCTGTGATGAAAACACTGACAAAAACCAACTTGGGGAGGACAGTTCATCACTGAGGGAAGTCAGGGCAGGAGTCTGGAGCACAGACCATGGAGGATAGCTGCTTACTGGCTTACTCTTTTGGCCTGTGCTCAGCCTGCTTTCTTATACAACATAAGACCACCTGCCCAGGGATGGCACTGCCCACAGTCGGCTGGGCTCTCCCACATCACTCAACAATCAAAATGTCCCACAGATATGGCCACAGGCCAATCCAGTTAAGATAATTCCTCAACTGCGATTCCCTCTACCCAGGTGTGTCAAGTTGACAACTAAAGCTGTCCAGCACACTGGTCTACATAGCAAATTCTGGGTCAGCTGGGGCTGCAGGGAGACCCAGTCGGAAGAAGAAGGAGGAGGAGGAGGCGGGGAGAGGAAGAGGAGACATAGAAATGGCCACCAAGGACCTGAAGAGATGGCGCACATCAGAATTGTCAGGGAAATGCAAGCTACAAAGCTATCAGCTATCTATTAGGGTGGCTGTTATGAAAAAGACAAAGAGTGACAGCAGATGAGGCTGTGGAGAGGGAATTCTGGCACTCTGCCATGATGTAAACTGATATATCCATTATAGAAAGCAGTGTGGAGGGTCCTCAAGGCAGAGAAAGAGAACTAACATGATCCAGTTGTTCCGTTTCTATGTATCTGATGGAACAAAATTATATCTCAAAGAGATTTCTGCACTCAGCTGTTCATTACACTCTTCACAACAGTCACCTATGGCAATAACCTAAATGTCTACCAACAAGTGAATGGATGAAGAAAGTGTAAATAAATGTACACACATACACCGGAATATTATTTGGTCATAAAAAGAAGAAACTTGCCGTTCTCAATAGTGTAGATGAACTTGCAGTCCTTTATGCTAAGTGAAACTAATCTAGACATAGAAATACACCATATTATTTCAGTTATATTTGGAATCTTTTTTAAAAAGTTGAACTCACAGAAACAAAGTATGAGGGCAATTGCCAAAGGCTGAAGGTTGGGGAAAATAGGAGGTGCTGGTCTGTGAGCACATTTTCTGGGGGGGTCTAGTGTATCATGAGTGGTGATCAGCATTCATTAATGCTATAGGTTAATGTGTTGGAAATGCAATCCCTAATGCAAGTTGGAGTGGTGGGACCTTTAAGAGATCTTCCCTGGTGAACAGATCAATGCTATTACAGGAAGTGGTTAGACATAGGAGGAGGAAGTTTCCAAAACAAGATGATAAGTTCAGCCTCTCTCTCTCTCTCAATCTCTCCTCTCCCCCCCTTTCTTCTCTTCCTCCTTCTTTCCTTGCTTCCTTCCTCCCGCCCTCTCTTCTCCCTTCCTTTCCCTTCCCAGCCTGTCCCCTCTCCTTGTATATCCACACAATACTGCCCTTCTGCCTTCTACCATGGTATGATGATGTACAAAAGTGCAGATCCCTCAATGTCTGGTACTCTTACAGCAGCATAAAATGGACTAAGAAAATTAATTTGACTGTGATTGTCATACAATCTGTCAAATCAGCATGTCGTGTACCTTAAATATACATATCTGTTCTTGTAAGTCAAATATACTTAAATGTATATGTACACAAATGTATATGTGTGTATATGTACATCTATAACTGAAGTACTCATGAAATACATTTTATTTTTCAGAGAAATTTTTCAGCAGCAGCATCCTCATCTTCATCCTCTCTTCACCTTTTCCCTGTCCTCATCTTCCTCCTCCTCCCCTGTTGTTCTCCCCCTCCTCCTCCTCCTCCTCTCCCTCCCCCTTCCCTTCCTTCTTCATTCCTCCTCTCCAAAATTTGGGAGTGTGCTGTGTAGGGAGGTAGTGGCAGGTTTTATTAAATGATATCACAGTCTACCTTTTTCCCTTGCATTCTCTCACAATCAAAATGCACCTATGAACCATCTTAGAATCAGTGCAAGCCAGTGCTGTGAACTGATTGGCCAGTGATGCATCACAAAGCATCTATGTATAGCAGTATCCATTGCTCAGCATCCTGAGTAATACTGAGCACAGCCTCTCAATGGAACATTTCACTTTCAGCGTTCCCTGAGACAGACAGCCTGTGATGCAAGATTTGT